CCGGAAGCTCTTCTGGGGGCTGCTGTTGGACTCGCTCCCCGTCTGACTCACGTTCGTGCGCCCCGACGGGGTCACCGGCGCACCAGACGAGATCTGAGGCTTCAGCTGCTGCCAGAGATGGGGAGGGGGCGGGGGACCCCCACGCCGCACGTCGTGCGCGAAGGGGTGCTCGGGCAGCGGCGGCAGAAACCCATGTATCGGCATCATGTGCTGCATGTGTGGGGGCGGGGGCGGCATCGCGCCCATCCCGCCCTCAGGCACCGCATTGCCCACGGCGAACCCCTGAGCCACAAACGGGCCCGGCCCCATGGCGCCCGGCGGAGCGACTTGAAAGAAGTGCGGCGGCATGGGTGGGGGGCGCTGGTCGGTCGCCGCGTGGATGCCCTTCTTTTTCTGTATCTTGAGCGGCGCCGGCCTGAAGCCTGCCTTGAGCCCCTTGCCCCTCCCGCCGCCCTTCTTCTTGCCGCCCTTGCCGCCACCAGCCCCACCCATACCCAGATCGCCCTCGAACGCCGCCAGGGAGTCATCGACCTTGGCGCCAGGCCACGCGGGATGGTGGTAGAAGGGCGGGGCGGGTACGCTGACGGCGACGGGGACGGCCGGCTCGGCGGCCTCGCCCTGCTGCTGGCCGTCTGCGCCCTCTGCGCCCTCTGAGCGTGCAGCGTGCCTGGAGCCGACCTTGTGGATGGGCATCTTGGGCAGCGGGGACGGGGAAGGGCTGGGGCTCGGCAGCTCGTCCTCGGCGGCCTCGGTCGCAGCTGAGAGACAGATGGACCAGCAGAGACAGACAACAGGTGGTGTGGTGTTCCGTGGCTGTGTGGACAGGACAGCGTACCCCATTTGGCGGCAGTTTCAGAGGTCATGAACTCGTAGCCGAGGTCGTCGAGTGAGTCGACGGGGCCGCCCCGGTTGGGGCCGCGGATGAGCTCCTCGAGATGCTCGCCTTGCAGCGCCACCCAACGGAACGCACCGGCATCACGCTGATGGATCGACACACGAATGAACCACACACACACACACACACGCGACAGAGACAGTGAGCTTTGGTTGGTCTCGGTGTGTGTGTCTGCATGTGTGTGTGTTGTGTTGTGTGGAGGTCTTCACCCACCTTGTCATTGAAGTACCAAAACTTGCGGAAGCGACCGTTGTAATACCCAACCTGCACACACGCACACACCCATCATGCGCACATGAGCTCAAGTCTCATGTGGATGCGTGTGTCTCCGCTTACCGCCCAGCTGTTGGCCCTGCCATTCCAGTAGACCTTCGAGAAGCTCCCCTGCCCACCCTCGGGCGCCACCGCTGACGAGCGGCGCTTCTTCAACGCAGCAGCTGACGCAGCACTCATCTTCTTCTCGCCCCCACGGTTGACAATCTTCTGGCTAGGCATCCAGTCGCCCCCCTCGTCCCCCTCACCCCCGCCCTCCTCTGTCTCACCCTCTCCGCCAGTCACC